ACACACACACACACACACACACACACACACACACATATATATATATATACAAACGTAAAACGGTGTAAACTTATTAAAATAATAATTTATGATTACACACCCATTTGCGGTATTATTATACCAAAACCTATCACCATCGCGTATTCGCTGAAACTGATCACGGATGATTCTTTGAAACAACTCTCCGGGTCCATCATCAGTCTCTAGTATTCCGCCTACCCAGACGTCCACGTCATCAAACGAATTCTTGTACAATCTGAGAAATTCCTCCTGGATCTTACGAAATACACAAATGATATATTTTTTACAAATGCTGCGGCAAAATATATATGAAATATATATGAAAATATACGAAAACTTTATATAACATACGGATACATCCACGCAATTAAAATGAGATACGTGTTTAACTTCCGCGAGACCGTAGGCACGACGAGCGCTATTGTAATCAGGTACCCCATGGTCACGTCCTCTCTGAATATTAAGTGCCATTAAGTCTCTTCTGGAAAATTCTAGTGGACCGAATAAACTGCCCCGCAGATCTTCAATGATTTTATGATCCTCCTCTTCGCACAATTGAATAGCCATCCCCATTAATAATTTTTCCACATCGATAACATCTTTTATTCTTGTTAAATTGGCATAGAGAGAATTCTAAAGAACAATTTGTCGTTCACATCATATATTATACGTACACATTCGAATATGAAAACTTTCAACATGTATGTATGATTGCTAAAATACCTGCGACATCCAGTAATTATTGCATGTTCTAATTGGATATGATTCCAAGGAGCAATTATTCCTTCCATAGTTGCGTAAGTACACACCTAACATTGTGATTATTACAATTATCATGCCAGTGTTATGTTTTTATTATAATTATTATAATAACCTCCCCTCCTCCTTTTCCACACACACACACACACACACACACACACACACACACGCGTGCGCGCGCGCGCGCGCATCCTTAGATTATAATAAGATGCAGTTTTGAGTCAGCTATATAGCTAATATGTGTGTTAATTAAAAATTACAAGTCTTTTTTGTCACCTTATACAATTGAATGAAAAGAAAGACGCAAACACATGAATAAGGCCAAATAGGCCATGTCATAAAATTAATTAATATTACTCGCTTGATTAAAGCGTTTTATTTGCTCAAACATGTTGCAATATTGATGATATCGAACATCGTTGACACGATATTCGTCTAATAGAATTTTGATGAAAAGTGTTATTTACCTGGTGGAACCAAGGTGTGCCCAAAGCGAAAAGCGGCCGATTGGAAAAATTGATCTATCTGCGGATCGATATTGGGATTGTAACCTTTGAACAACAAAAAAATTATCATTTGAAGTAATTTAAACGAATTATCTGTTGTGTACATAATGAAATAGGAAATTGAGCCTTCTTACCTTGGTACGTAGGAAGCCCGTTTCCCAACCACGAAGGCAACCATTCGTTGACGATAATGTTTTGCTGAGTCGCAATCACCCATTTACGCGCTTCGTTATAAATTTTGTCGCTCGACCAGTTTGGATTGTGACGTTTAATATGCGATGCTATAAAATTGTGCCACCTGAACCATATTATACCGAAAGTCAGCAGGAACGGATTTTCATTCCCCCGAGGATTTCCTAATTCTAAAACACATACGTTTAAATCGCATAAATAAAGGCGGCGTAAATCAATCTCAAGGGAGAGAGAAGTGAGAGAAGAGAGAGAGAGAGAGAGAGAGAGAGCGCGAGCGGTAGATGAAAAGTTTGCTCGTCCGAGATGTATCTTGCTCGACTATCGAGAAGAAGCAAGGAGATCCTGACTACGCGGGTAACGCGGCGAAGGATCTTGTCCAGCGAAACGTCCCGCAGATCGGTCACGAAGATGACGGTGCGCGACGCATTGAATATGGCCCTCGACGAGGAGTTGGCTCGGGACGAGAGGGTATTCATAATAGGAGAAGAAGTCGCGGAATTCGACGGCGCTTACAAGATAACGCGTGGTCTCTGGAAGAAATACGGCGACAAGAGATTGATCGACACACCAATCACCGAGGCTGGGTTCTGTGGTATCGCCATCGGCGCGGCACTCCTGGGCCTAAAGCCGATATGCGAATTTATGACCTTCAATTTCTCCATGCAAGCCATCGATCGCATCGTCAATGGTGCCGCAAAGAATCTCTACATGTCCGCCGGAAGATACCCCGTTCCAATCCTATTCCGAGGGCCGAACGGTAACGCCAAAGGTTTGGCCGCGCAGCACTCTCAATGTTTTGCCGCGTGGTTCATGAGCGCACCCGGCTTGAAAGTCGTCTCACCGTCGACCTGCGAGGATTACAGAGGCTGCTTGAAGGCGGCTGTGCGAGATCCCGATCCCGTAATCATGCTGGAGAGCGAGCTACTTTATAACATTGAATTCCCCGTATCCGACCAAGCGATGGACAAGGACTATCAGATACCTATCGGCAAGGCTAAGGTGGAGAAAGCTGGCAAGCACATCACTCTAGTTACGCACGGCCAGGCATACGTATATACACTTCAAGCAGCCGAGTTGTTGGCTGGACAAGCGGGTATTGAAGCGGAAGTTATCAATCTACGCTCGCTGAGACCCTTGGACTGGGACACGGTGTTCAAGTCGATCGGCAAAACGCACAGACTAATGACTGTCGAACTGGGCTGGCCTAGATGCGGAGTAGGATCCGAGATCGTCGCGACGGTGATGGAAAATCCAGTCTTCTTTCAGCTCGACGCACCTGCGATTCGGTGCGCCGGCATCGACGTTCCAATGCCTTATTCCGAGAAGATCGAGTACGAATGTACTCCCAAGGATCACCATATAGCCGACTATGCTAAACGCATCTGTGGCACAAAATTCTGATATATTCTAATTTATCAATTTATAGAATAAAGTTTCTCACTCACTGAAATATCTGCTAACGCTCTCGGTATAATGTCGTGAAACATATTGATGATGATGAATAGGCGGCGGTGGATTGGCCATCGGTAATCTAACGGTATTATAATCGGGATACAGAGGAAACTCCGACGATGCGAGTTGTCCGTCCTTCTGCAATATTCCACTGGCATTCGTTCTTAAAACGTCGGACCACGCTTTGGACGTACCGTAAATCAATCCACCGTCTAAGTATGGCGTAATCTCGTTCAGCTGCGATATTTAGATTTATTGTTAGGTAATGTCGCTCGTTAACTCGGAGGGGGTACGAGGCTTTGTTTCGAGAATCGTATAAACACATTCGTACCTGTTGACGAGGATTATTCGGCGAATGACCCGTCTGATGATCGTATCGTGTACGTAAAACGGGCATTTTCGTGTGTCCTGGTTTAATTCTGTACCGATGGTTTTTCGGAATGTTTATGTTGATATACTCGGGTGGGCACGCTGGTCTTTGAGCATCTAAAATTTCCTCCACCACCTGTTGACCTGTTGAGCACATATTTTTTCAAATTGTTTCAGTTTACACACGTGTGTGTGTGTGTGTGTGTGTG